TTAACTAAACATCCAAAATTAGAATTGATGGCTCAAAAGGTATAAATACAATATGTACATGCATTAAAAAATACATACAAACATGCAAAATATACATTTTTTAAAAGTATTATTTTCCAGAAGTTAGTATGTACTCACAAGGAATCTGTGCAATACAGAAGTGTTCAAAGAGACCGTCCCATGTGTCTAGGCTCAGTCGCACTCCCCAGAGGGTGACAGTGTTTGGTATCCCAACCTCTGTACTTTTTTCTCTTGAATATGGAGGGGGATCCTGTATATGCAACAGGGGCCTGTGTCTGACATTAGTAATTAATCCAGACACTCCTGCATCTGAGATTAGATGGAATGTCACATCCTTCTTAGTATGGTGCCCTGGACAGTCAGTGGGGAGCTAGAACACAAGATCATGTCTGTCAGCCATCCCTGTAACTTTGTCTTTCCATTAACCCTTTTATATGTATCCCTCAGATGAGTAAGCACCATAGGTAATATGGATCTGAGTCCTTGAAAGTCTAAAAAAGGTCTTTCTGTGTCCCTGAATTTCCTCTTCATCTTGACAAATGAATGATCATTCATATAAAAAAACCTTGACTCAGTATTATATTCTTGTCAGAATATTTTCCCTCAAAATGTGTAGATGTTTCTTTCGTTTTCTCAGAGCATTTAGAGCTGGAGAAAACTCTGATGTCAGTCTAGTCCTTTTGTTGATGCTGTTTTTCTGTTTGGCTGTCTAGCGTCCACTGTTTTGAGTGCTGCTGGCTGAGCATCCAGAGGCTGTTTCGCGCTGAGGTTGGTGAGTTACTATGACAGCGTCAGAGTGTGGAAGGACTTGACGTCGCCCTGTTCTCTCTCTTTACCTTTTGTTTTTCTTATTAGTGTCCCGTGACATGTTTTCTTGGTTCGTCTGTTCAAAACCCTTCTCGTGTTTTATTTCTTCGTTACTTTTATCTCCAATTTTGTTCCGGTTTTCCTGCTCCCCCAGAGACAACTATCCTAATATGTTTAATGTGTGTCGTTTAAAAAATGCTCTTGTAAAATGTGTGCTGTTGGTTTGTGGGTATATTTTGAATTTCATAAACGGTATGGTATGCTCCCGTCACGATCCTTGAAGACAATTGCTTTTTCTCCTTTCCCTACTGTGTAGTAGGAGCTCCCTCTGTTCTATCTCTGTTCTGATCCTTTCATCTAGTGATCTGGTCTTCTGTGAAAACTGCATTTTTTAT